TGCTTGCACCCTCTACTAGACAGAAGTGACCATATGCGGGGAGTTCTTCTCAGAACCTTAAAAGACAGAAGCATTAATGGCCGTTTTATGTGTGTGGAGCTTTACGAAAATAAAGCCAACTGGTGCGCTAATTTTTGAGATGATAAAACTAAAATGATTCCCTCTAAACACACAAATTCATGGAAAAAGACGTCAAAATATCGTAGGTCGTGCCTTGAATAACTGACCGCCAGGTCTAAGTTCCCTCACGTGCGAATAGTGCTACTGAGACATGCCTGACCTACCTTTGCCATCCGCGGATTTCGAACGTTGAAAAGTGGCACTACTTTTGATGGACGCATATCCAGTCTTGCCTGAATTGCATGCGTCTGAAATTGAGGACACAACGAGCAGGAGGGCTAGGAATAGGAGGACGCGCATGACCCGATCAGTAGTTTGGAGAACCGTGAACATGCATTGAGCCCGCCAGTGGCTCCTTTTATAAGTCAACATGTAAGCCCACACATTGCCATTGGTTACTTGACTGACCAATACCAGGTCTTGTGTAATCCTGTCCATTAACTGGTTAATATGACACAGGCTGACGCCCAAAAGACACTTTGTCATCCACGCTCACATCACATTGGCTATCGCATGCGCCCACAGTCCCAGAGCCGGCTCTGACCACAAGCAAGCTTCTGTACAGAATAAACAACTCCTACTGGTGTCTTTCCCCGGTCAGATGTGGTTATGTAGCTGCACCTGAGTTAAACAAATGCCAACCGCCCGTAATTCGGGACCGGTGGTGATAGGGGGTTTTTACAGATGGAGCTGGGGAACGCACGGACGACGAGTTCAGGTAATCGTAAGCAAAAGAAAATGCAACTGGGAATGCGTGGTTATAATTTGAGTAGTTGAGAAATAGTTGTCCTAACCCCCAACCCTAACTCCTTACTCTAACCCAAACTCTAATTTCTAGCAGTATTGTGTCCATCAGGTGCGGCTTCACAACCACCTCTTAAACTTTCTCCTTGACCTATAAATTGTAACTGAGCCATTATTATTTTGGCGATGAAGACACAACGTATCGTTCCACGTGGTAATTGCGATGAGATGGCGCGGTGCCACATCAGGGCACGGAACGCGTTATTTAAACCTCCCACTCAAAATACAGCACGTGACCTATCTGATGAAACCTGGTGACGGAATCTGATGTGAGAATTTAGGACGTTTTATGCGTTGCGCACTTTGCTTTCCCTCTCAGCTACATTTAGGAAATGTCCTCATCTTCTGCAGATATTGTGTCAACGTAATTTTGTCAAGCAAATTGTTCATAAAGTCGATCGAAATTGGACGTCGCAATATACCCGGCATTTTCCTACGTTAATACCTGTTATGGACTTCGGTTGACGATTTGAGCAGGTTTGTTCTTGAAAGGAGAATAATTTCCTCCATGGCGTTTTTATAAGCAGAGGTTGCCGGACTTTAAAATTTATTTATAGTCCAATTGTATCCGTTGTACTCAACCTCCTAAATCAAAGTTTATTTTAAGAGAACGAGCTGTTTTGTCGATTTATAAAATTCACACCAGCAGATTTGTGCGATTTTGGGCCCTAAAGTGCAGTAATAACGCACACAGGCAATACTTCATTTAAATGGACTAAAATTGTTTTGCCGTTTGGAAAATCCTACGAGTTGTCACAGGAACGACCAAAACCGAACTGTTATTCTCGGCTTTGAACATATTAAATATTACATTTAGTGCAGTCTAGCTTCTGCACATACCTAATTTATTAGAGAAAGTTTTCTGATTGGTCTTAGGCAAATTCGCTGTTGACTTTCGTTGTGGACGTCCGACGATGAGGGTTCCTGTTTGCGTGAATGTTCAAATGTGACCCAAATGACGTTCTAAATGAAAAAGAAAGCCCAAACACTTGTTACTTCGGTAAATGCCTCCAAGAAGTATCATACTTTAAAGTTTTTAACAGACGCATAATACATAATCTGTCCTTATGGGCGATCGGATGAAAACACTGAAAATCGTGAAATATTCATCGATAATTCAAGGCCGATCTGAGACTCAACGTAATCCTGAACTAACGAAAAGTACAAATTAATTTAACGGAAGAAAAGTTCTCTTTATAAACACAAAATGGGATGCTGACAATTACCCATGCCAATTCCATTTGAAATTATTTAGCACTAAGGGGAACGGCAACACGTGACTTTATCAAAACCTTTGTTCCTTTTGTTTCTTGTTGAGCCGCATCTCAATTAATTCAAAAGACTAAAGGATACCACGAATCCTCTTGAAACTGTTTCGGAATCTATACTCAGAATGTAGGCTGTTGGCAAGGCGCCATACCTGGAATTACACTAATTCTTAAAGGATATTTAAATGTAAACTTCACTAAAACATTATTTTTAACTGTTATTCTATTTGTGCTTTCATATTCACTCAGGTTTTTCCATGGGTAGACGTTTCGAAAATTAAAAAATGAAGTTTATTAAATTGCAACCACTTTGACGCTTTCGGGATTTTACAATTTTCTAAAAAAAATAACATTTCTAAAATAAGCAACATTGCCTTTACACTTTATTATATGCTTTACATTCTCTTAAAG